ATTGTGCCATTGATTCTAGCAGTGTTCGTACTGTTATTGATGCAGTGCTAATGTCTCATCATCTAGAAGCTCTTAATTTGAGAGATAATTATATTGACGATGAAGGAGGTGCTCATTTGTGCTCTATGCTCAGGCAGCTTTTTGGGTCATCTGAAGAACCTGCTACTGACTCCAACAGCAGTCACAGTTTTAATTTCCTTGACATTGGGCATAATCCATTTACGGGACATGGAATATCAAGTTTTATCAATGAAGTAGCTCACTTTAAGATTGATAGCACTAACTTCACTCTCTCCTTATCACTTGGTTGGAAGGATCAAGTTTGTGAACATGTTTCTTTTACAAAAGTTGAGCAGCTTTTAAAATTTGAAAGTAATGAAGACGATTGAGCCTACCATGCCTAAATTTTTGATTGCAATTTTAACTTTTTACTAGAGTAGATAGATCTATATCAAAAGTTTAACTAGCTAAATTTTTAATTGCATAGACTAGATATGAACTAGTGTTATTTTTTTAGAAATTTTTATGTTGTTTTGTTAATGCTTCATAATTATTATGCTGCCATTCCTGCCAATTAAAGCTATAGCCATGCACTTGCTGTTGCCTACCTACACACACTTGTCCTGGAATATCAGATGATCATGTAGAGCTAGATAATAGTGTATTATTGAGATCAGTAGATACTTCTTCCCTTAATGCACTTGCTCACATAATAATCCTAGATCTAATATATAATTTCTTTGTTAAGTTTTACAATCTGCATGGGCAAGATTCTAATCAACCCAAACAATGAATTGAACTAATTACACTCCTTTCATATAAAACTGGACAACAGCACCGTACTGTACTAACGCGATAAGCGGACCCAATAAAGAAGTCCCGAGCCCCTCTTTCACTTTCTGTCCTCCCTTATTGTTTTGTCTACGACAAGATGGAAGCTTGGAAGATTCTCAAAACTACTGCTTCTTCATCGGAAGCCATGATATCAGAATGGGTGTGCCTGAAGGAGGGATTAAATGAATAGGTCCGTTTAAAAAGGGGTATAAAACGTATTTTTAAGGATTTTCAGTTTTTTAAATCAATATAACATTTCATCACTTAACTTGTACCTGGCAAAGTTTCAAGCTTTAACTTGAAGCAGAAAGGTACTTAAAATCACTTTGAAAATTACCCTCGAAATTACCCACAAGAACCACGCCTAAAAAAATTGGACTAGGCGTGGTTTTATGAAAACATGGCTGCTTGTTTTTTGCCTGTTGGGCTTGGATACTCGGCATTGGAACACTTGACTGAAGCAGCTAATGAACATTCTGCTACTGAAGAATTGGCTACTGATAAAGCAAAATTCAGAGGGAGAAAGAGGGTCAGGGCTTGCCCTAAAAAGAAGATTGGATTGAGAAAGAATGCCCCTAACACCAGCATTGAAGAAGTAATAAGCATTGGCTGTTGTATGAAGAAGTGTATTATGAAGCTATCTGAAGCGACACTGCATCAAATAAGAGAGAAGTTTAATATTCTAACATATGAAGAGCAGAATCAATATTTAGCTGGACTTATTATTCGACGAGAAGCTGTAAAATCGTCAGGTCACAAGAGAAAACAGAATCCTGCTACTGGAAAAAATGGAAACAAGACAGGTAGACCCCCAGCTGAAGAGGCTACTTTTACTATTGAGTATAACGTGAGAAATGAAAAAGGTATTAACATTAAGATCTGCCAAAAGGCATTTATTTTAATACATGGATTTGGCAAGAAGAGAGTAGAGGTACTTCGGAGAAAAGTAGCAAGTGGCTCATTGTGTCCTGAACCTGATCAACGAGGTAAGCATGATAATAGACCTCGTAAAGTACCTGAAATAATTCACGAGAAAGTACGAGAGCATATAATGTCCTTTCCAGCAAGAGAGAGTCACTACTCTAGGCATAAAAATTCAGGAAGGATGTACCTAACAGCTGATCTTTCTATTGAAAGGATGTATGATTTATTCTTAGAAAAAAATGATCCAGAATATATTGAGTATAAAAAAAAAATGCAAGAAAGTGGTACAACTAATACTACTGAGATTGAAAAGAAGCCTATCGTTTCCAAACATTATTATCACGATGTTTTCATTCAAGAATTCAATATTCACTTTGGGTATCCCCGTTCAGATACTTGTGACATTTGCGATCGTCTGCGGTTGGCAATTGCTGAAACAAGTGCTGATGTGGAAGGCTTACAAGAAGAGTTGAGTATTCACCTGGAAGCTGCTCAAGAAGGTTATGATGCTTTGAAGAAAGATATCACATTATGCAAGAATAGTCACAAGCTAGAATAAACTGTAAGAAAACTAATGCATGTACTATTATACTAACTGACAATGCTTTCAAATTTATACAACTTGTGATCATGATAATTAATTATTGAAAATAATGAATGACGATTATTGAGTATATCTATTCTATTACATTGTAACGAGTGATTAAAATAACATAAAAGTGGGTGTATTGCATGTAACATGTATACAATCATAAAACATGATTAAAAAGTGTAGAAATGGGTGTGTTGCATGTAGCATGTACAATGAATACATACATTTAATTTAATTAGTCACTGTCACTCAGGTCATCATCTTCAAGTGTTTTAAGATTCATGTAAATACTACGAGCATTCTCAGGAACATACTCCCTGGCCAGTTTCTGTACATCACATGCCTTTGCATATTTAATTGGGAGAGGGTATGAATCATAAAGAGGGTCAGGTTGGTGTGTTAAATTGAAACGAATGCATGATTTTTTTTGATATAATATCTTTTGAGGTTTTTCTGAAATACTGTGACTATATCGAACCCAAACTTCTAATGGATGCTGCGTTTGACGAATCTGTCCATCTATTAATTCCTCTCCAACTCCAAAATTAAACCACAATATCTTGCTAAACTGAATCTGATTGCCTTCAATATCCACATTTCTCTCGATATACATATTCTTTAAGAACTCCCAATAATCAAAAAAATCATCTTGGCTCATTTCAGTAACTTGTATCTTCCCTGATACAGTTGAGTTTTGAACATGTTCACACCATTCTTGTGGTGTATATATGTTCTCAATTTTTTGTGTATGCTTTTCAATAACACCAAAAGAGCGATCTGCAGGCCCATATGTATGGCCAACAACTAGAAACTTGTAGTCTATGCGTGCATAAATACCTCTCCTAATCAAATCAAGAAAAAACCATATTACGCAGTGATTTTTATTCTGTCCTGGGCAATTGTCGGCCCACCAAATGCTCCACTTAGCTCCGGTTCGGCCTTGCTTCGTATTAAAAATAAAGTGAGCGAGAGATGATACTACTTCATTTGCACCACGGTGTGCAATTAATTCATTCCACATAAATGCACATAAAGTATCATTAGACACACAATAAATACCAAAAAGGTATGTCCACAAGAGCCGTAAATAAAATTGTTTTCCCACAGTTAATTTAGGAGTTGGTAAGTTTTTTTGGAAATCGAAATGAAAAACATCAATTGCAGATGTTGTTTGAAAATGAGGGAGAGTTTGATCACCGCAACAATTTGCACACACCCATGCATCTGTAGATGCTGCAACTTTTCGATACTGAGTGGTACTTAACTCATGTCTAAATATACAACTGCAGTGAAACCATTTACCACAAGTACCTTCACATTGCAAAGCTTTATCATTCTTGCCAACATCCTTTTGGCATGTACCACAGGGATAACGTGAACATGAGCTATGCGTAGCCATGAGCAGAAAGACCAGGTTGACTTGACAGGCTCCGTTTAAAATGAACATACTAAAGAACAAATAAAAAGATGTTAAATGCATGTAGGTATAAGCTCAGTATAATGTTTCGCAAACTTACAAAAAGGAGAATCGCAGCAAAATCCAAGAAGGCGACTCGAAATGCTAAGCACGAGTATAGATTTATTACGGTTTTCTTTTTTTACGTTTTTACAAAATTATAAATAATAGTTAAATACTCCTTTTTAACCGGACCGCCTCAATTGTAAGACCTATTGAAATTATTAATTTTGTGAAATCATAGATATTACACCCAATAATATCTATGGTGAAATATAGTTGTACAACTGCTCGTGAGTGCTTCATGAGGTAACATAATACTCTATGGTAGTATAGGGTACCCATGGCAACTAGATTCCAGCAACACCACCACACCTTGAAGGCAAGATGGAGGATATCTGTACTGCACCTCCTGGGTCTATACACTACTGTGGCGTCAGCGGCACAGCCACTAGTGTTGAGCTTACTATTTAGGTAAGTTGAGGTTTTAAAGTAGCTTTACAAACAATTATTGCATGCAGTTGGCAAGACATTATTATGTATATAATATATATATATATATATATATATATATATATATATATATATATATATATATATATAATACATATTCATATACTATTTACATAATGCTGGTATAGTTGTAACTTTTATTTTGCTGTTATTAAAAATAATAATAATACTACTAACTGTGTAGTC